CAGTAGTTTGTGCTTGTGCTGTGGGCACAAGAATGCCCAGTTTCAAGTAGAGTGGAACCTGGATCTTTCCTATCTGCTTAGGTCACAATCTGCTTTATTTGCAGTGGCTTGCTCACTGATGGATAAGCAACTCAGCTGTTTGCTGAGGCTTTTACTTCAAAGGGCACTGCTTCTCCACTCAGTTGGAGCTGATCAGCAGTTCTGTGCAGCTATTTGCTAATGCTCTCATATACTCCTGGTTAGCTGGAAAATCCTCATTTTTGAAGGGGGTTAAGCAATTTTACTGTATTATAAATTGGATATAGAAAATTTTCTCATGCTTAAAAATAAATGATCATGTCTAAAGCGCTAGAAAGAAATTGTTTCCATCAGCTTGATAAAAACTGGAGAGGTCAAAGTGCCAACAAAGATTGCAAATTATTTGTGTTTATGATATTGCTTAGAGATGTGAAAGTGAAGATTTTTTTTCATTCAGGTAATCACATAATACAGATTACTTAGTTGATATATGTATCTGTGACAAAGAAAACTTTAAAAATATTCAAATTATTTACCCATGTATAGACCCATGTTTACAAGTAAAAGTTTTAACAGATAGGGATTTGGGCATCTACGTTTTACTCTGAAAAATGGGGCAAATACAGGTTGTGTATATTTCAGTGTTAAGTGTGCCAGTGTAACCACCACAAACTGCATTTGTACTAGGAGGGGGTTTAGGAGGCATGACTGAAGCAAAGGGATACCTATGTATGAATAAAGACCACACCCCTGGTACTGTCTGCTGTGGTCTACTAACCACCCAACAGGTACGCCTCAAGGTTCCTCTTCCAGTGACATCGTTTTGGCATAATCATAAGCTGTGATTTGGTGCCTTAAGTTCTAAAACCTCCCCTGAACCAACTAGTTTAAATGTAGTTCTCAAATGTTAGATATTTACGTCTGAGCTAGTTATCAGAATGAAAATGACCTGGTCGTCAAAAATACTGCGCAACAGCAGCTCTGTATTTTGGTAAGAAGTTGGTAAGAATTATTAGTGCACCTTGAAAATAATGCCAGTTATGTTTAAATGCTCCTTGTGGATTTAAGTGCCTAAATTTAGGGACTCAAGGGAGAAAATGCTGTGAAGAAAGCAGTATAGTCCATCATACTTTTAGTCACTAGTTTAATACATGCATTAGGGCACAGGTGCCCAACATTTTTGGCCTGTGGGCTAGATGATTGGTACCTGTTCCCCTCTCAGGCTGGATCTGGTTTGGAGGCCCAATCCAGTTGCACAGTGCAGTGCTTGCCCAGCTGGGACCTAATTAAACCTCAAGGAAGTGGTCTGGCAGGGGCTTGATCTTGCAGAGCTGGACCACTGTTGTGCAGCTGCATCAGGCCCTGGCTCGATTCAGCTGTGCGGGAATGGGTTCCAGTCCGTCTGTGTGAAGCTGGCTCAGCAAGGGCTGATCCAGCTACATGGGGCTTGGAAATTTGGTTGGGTGTGGGGAAGGAGGGAGGGTAGTTACAGTGTTAAGTGCCACTGCTCCCTCACTGCCACAGTTCTGGACCCAAGCCAGATTACATGGCTCCATGGGTCAGGGTTGACAATCCCTGCAGGAAAGTCTTAACATCTTTGATTGTGTAATGTAATTAATTTTCCTTTCATGTTAAAATGCTTTCTAATATACTTCTACATTAGGGCTTAAAAGGGAGATCAGATGGTCTAGGAAGGAGCTTTTCCCATTTTCCCATTAGTAAGGATGATCATTTACAGAAAGCCCTAGCTGTGACTTATTCAGTAAGGGTAAAACTCCCTAGGGCTCATTTATGACTTACCTCTGCTTGCATTGAAACCCTGTCATTGGTAGCAGAGGTAGAGCAACACTGTATACTTTAAAAAAGAATGTGCTACAGGTTTATGCAGAAAATAATTTTGAATACTAGAAGGAATGTTCTCAGGGAATTTTTAATTTAATTTAAAAATAGGATATTTGTATATTTAATGATTTTTCATTTGTGGGTGGGAATACCAGATATATTTTAAATATTCTACTTTTTAGTAAAATGGGAAAAAGAAACATTTACTTTAAAACATAACTAATGCATGTGACAAACCATAGGGAGTTTGATGGGGGTCTTTCATTTGGGATCTTGTTTTGCTTTCAGATAAATCAAGCAAAACTCCCAGTGATTACAGTGACAACCAGCTCCAAACTTTGAAAAGTTAAATATTTGGAAAACTTAAATTTCCATATACTTTCCATTAGATTATTTTAACACTAGTTTTATGAAATCAAAGGAAACTTTACATGCTTAAATAGGTCAACAGAACATTAGTAGTTAGACTTTAACTGTAAATTCAGCTGTGATTAATATTTTATTAATTGGGTAAAAGGGCATCTTTATAAAATAGTCTTGCTTCCATGTTTTGCATGCAGAAATCAACTCTGACCTTAACTATGAAGCTGCCACTATTGCCTCCACAATTGATATCTTGGTTAAATGTGCTCCTGGAGGTTCACATACAAGGGGATTTATCTTGCAAGCAGGAAGAGAATAGTTATGGCGCTTTTAAATTTCTGTTTGTCCTTTGGATTATAGGAATGCACAGAGATGTAACAGCCAGGGGCCCAGGGCAGTTACCACCTACAAAGGCAGTGGTAACTTCTGGTTGCTGCTGCACTTCTGGCATGATTTTGCAGCTGTGGCAATAGCCATTTTCTTCTGATGCCCTTCTCCTTTCCAGGTTGGCACCTAGGGCAGCTTTCCCAGTCATTACATGCTAGTTATGCCCCTGGAAATGCAAAGGGCCCTTTCTCACCCCTCAACCAGAAATGTATCAAGGACAGCTCACTTTATGGGCTTTCAAAGAGGGGGCACTAGGTTGATCCTGTTTCTTTTGTGCAGTAGCTTCCATCCTCGAAGAAGTGGAAGGTAGTATGGTCTCAGTAGTCGGCTGGGACAAGTTTTTAAGGGAGAGGGCTTATGGCAGCCCTTCCTAACAGGTAGGAATTACCAAGGAATGAATAATGACCTATATTGTATAGGTTCTTGCTTGTTAATGAAAACAGATGAGTTATAAAATTATGGCTTAATTAAATCACATTCCTTACATCTCTTTTCTCTTTCTGTGTGACCAACACAGAACTTAGTTGCACTTTCAGATTGCAAGTAAATATGCTAGGCTACCAATCAGGAAGAAAGACACATCGGGCTAAATCCTATTTTATCTTCATGTACTGATGTAGCACTTACATAGCTACAGAACTGCAATTTTTGGCACTTATGCACAATTTTAATTCCATATTACTATGCTTACCTTGCATTTCCCTGCAGAATGTGCTCAGTGGGCTGCACTCTAGCTGCATAACTCTCTAGAGGGAGCAGCCACACACAGACATACACACATGCAGATGCAGACAGACACACACACAAACACACTCAGATGCAGAAACATACCCAGACACCCCCCCTTGCCCCCAGCAGGTAAGTGTGTGTGTGGGGAATGGGTAGGGCGGGGCCAAATCGAGAATGGCGGGGTGGGAGGGAGTGTGTTTCTGTGCCCATTCCTAGGAGCAAGGCCAGGGGGGCAGGGCAGTGGTGGGCTGCACATGCACTGCCCAGATGGCCAGATGCCCACCCCCCCATGCCACTGATGCTGCCGTGCCCTGCATCACTGTCTCACAGACAGTTGCACATGCAGCTTCGCAGGCTGGTGACTGGCCTTGCGCCTGGCCAATCACGTGCCGCCTGTCACCAGCCCATGGAGCCACACATGCGACCAGCCATGGGAAAGCAGTATGGGGCACGACAGCAGCACAGAGCAGTGACAGAGGTGTTGGCAATGATGGTAGTGATGGCAGTGGCGGCTGCAAGCCCTCCCTCCCCCTCTCCCCCCACAGCTGGTCAGGCACGTGCGTGCGGCCCACAGAGGGACACCGTTGCCCTTGACCCCTGGCCCTGGTCCTGGGCGTTGGCACAGAGTGAGCTGAGGTAGGTGACAGGGAGGCCCTATGGT